TCAACTTTGTGACTAGCAGCAATTCTCTTGTCATCTTCACTGCACTGAGGGAGAAACACACTAACTTGCAAACTGGAGTGTTTAGCCAACTGTATTGCTAGTTCTCTGTTGACGGTTGACAAGTCTCCATCGATTGACGATCTCCATTCACTACTTAACAGAGTAACATACAGTGTGTTCCTTTCTACTCCCTCCTGGCCTTCTTGTGATGTGGAGGCTATGCCGGGATTGGAGAACCCCTGAAACAAAATAATGCAAACGGAATAAACCTTTCCATTCCATGTTAAAATTAACCTAATAACTTTAATTAGTTTTAATTAATAACAGAATCCCACAGCCAAGAGAATTCTCACATGTCAGTTCACAAGTCGACCTCTATGCTGATAATACTACCCTTACGACGTTTGTTCACTTCAATAATTTACCTGAACTTAAACTTTCACTAAATACAATGTAACTCCGCAAATGAAATGCATCACCGGGCCGACTCAAATAAACTCCCAATCAATGAGTCAAAGTCCCAAGTCTAAACGATCACTGGAAAGCACCTGGCATCTAAGATCAATGATGAACTTGTTGTCACAGTAATGAGACAGTAATGAGCTATGCTGACGTCATTTGGTCATCAGGTGACAAGGAGCTCTACTTTACAGAGTCTTCAAATTACAGTCTTCAAATTTCGCTGTTAAGGACTTTTCCATTAATTTTTTGGCACATTTCATTACGTCAATAAGGAATCATAGGTAGCATGGAAGAGCAAATTAATTTAAGAACACAACTGCGGAATAGCGTGTAAACAAGAAAACGCTAATTAGGGCCTTGTAATAGATAAGAGCTACTGGAGGAAGCCGTTTCGCGTGAAAAGTCGACGTGCTACAAGGATTATGACACCTACATGTACATGTAACTGTGTTATTAAATTTTTTTTAATTAAAAGAAAAACTTTTTTCTAAATAACTCATTTTTGGGAAATGTTCGATTTTATAGCAACCTCCTTGTTTTACTTTAAAAGAGATATGCAGCAAAAGTAGCACTCTCAAGGTATTGTGTAACCTTAAAATGATCTTCGCAGCATAGAAACAGACCATTTTACGATTTAGCTTTTACATCTAAGGAAGTCTTTAATATTATAATGTAATTCAACTATTCACGTCTCACATAATTTTAAGTTTTTAACTTTTATTATTTATTTATTTATTTATTTACTTTCATTGGTAGCATGGAATGGAACTTGAGCATGAAAGTGAGGCATTTGATGCGCATATAATCACCCTTTGCAAGGCTGTTTGTTCACTTTTGGCATTGCAAGTCAGCACAGATTTAATAATGTGCATATTAAGTGTACTTATTATAACAACAGAAACAAAAACAGGCCTTTTTTGCTTTGAAAGGCAGTGCCAAATTGTTAGAAAAGAAAAAATCCAGGATTTCTTGAGCAAAGTGATTAACTCAAGTGATTGAAGTAGCTGCTTGTGCAAATGTACAAGACTCCAGCTGGCAAAAATCTACATGTACATGTACAAATACTAAGAGAGGAAAATGATTGAAATGTTCCAAGACTACAAACTTAAGATAGTATAAATTTTACTAATTTACAGAACAGTTAGAGCCACACATTTTCACTGATTTGGTACTAGCGAAGAAATGAACCACAAAGTTGCAATTAAACTCGTCACAAATAGATGAGCTTGGGAACTGGTGCCTGAAAGGTTAGCGGGGAGCAGAAGCTGTATGCGGAAGGGGAGGTATCCATGGCAACCCTGGAAGCGGGAACCACCCCCAAAAGCAGCCGCTAACTGGCATCGTTACACTGATTGAATCAGTGGAAACAACTTATCTGACCCATACTTACCTAGAGACCAGCAACTAAGAGGGAGGGACGGGAAGGGACGAGAATCCGCAAAGATTTGCCAATGCACAAAGCAAATGATCCGCAACGATCAGCTGGCAGCACAGTAAGTGCAATGCAATGTGACACAACAGCCCTGCAAATCTCCAAAGGGCCACCCCGCAAGTCACGTACTGTAAAAAGGGAAACCGCTGACTGCATTGGTTTGAGTCTAACTTTGCCTAAATCATAGTTAGCAACATTACAACGTTCTCTTGAACCACATGCATGCAACTGACAAAACTTAATATCATACAAGTTATGTACATGTATAGTCACTACAGATGTACATTGCCTGTACTACACAAACTGCCAAAAACAGATCATTCAATATTTAAATATTTTAATTCTTGGCTGGCGGGCATTACTTTCGATTCTTTATCAGTTTTTCAGATTGACTAATTAAAAGCCTTTTGTTGTTGAGTGTTCAGAGTGAAGAAAACTGAAAATGTCACTCAAAAATTAAATTTATTTAATAGTTATGATATTACCTTCACTAGTCGTGACATCACAGGAAGCCTTTAGTCTTGAACACTGAAAGTAAAGTAAATAAATCTCAAAATCAAACAGTCTAACCAGGAAAATAGTCAAGAATAATTTTTAATTAATTATTTTCAGTCTTGAATTATGCTACAGATATAAAAAACTTACATGTAGCAAGTCTTGTTACGAGTGCCCTTTGACATCTTGAATGGTTGACACATACAACAATACAGAAGCTGACTGACTCACTGAACCTTTAAAAATGTAAAAGACCAAAAGGTGAATATCAGTGGCTGCATGAAAAATGTTCTTGTAAGTATCAACAAAATAAGTGCACATAACACAATGTTAACATGCCCCAGTCTTTTCCATTTCATGAACGTATTACGTCACTTGGTAAATATAACTGAACATTACCAAATTATTGGTACTTAAGCAATAGAGCATTTTTTCCGTGT